ACACACACACACACACGGATGTAGAAAACTGAAGCTCGTTAGGACTCTGTAGAAATAAAAGTTAGTTTTTCTTAAATACCAGACAAACTGATTTCTGATCTTTCTCTCCTCGTCTGACTCTTTCTGCTCCAGATTAACGAGAACCTGAGTGTTTGTGCTAAAAAGTCATTTTACTGATTTGCTCCTGAAGCAGGTTGTGTGAAGCGAGTTCACCAAATAAACCAGGTTTACTTCAGTTAGCCTGACTGACTGCCGAGTTATTGAAATTCAACATAATTCAAGCTGAGTAACTCTGACAGCTTGTGATGGGAAACTAACCTGGTCCAGAGCAGGTTAACTATCAGGCTAACTGTCAGGTTTACTGTCAAGTTACCTGTCAGCTTAACTATCAGGCTAACTGTGGGGTTAACTGTCAGGTTGTTGAGCTAGCTGTTGGGCTAGTTGTCAAGCTAACAGTCAGTTAAACTATTAGGCCAACTGGCGAGTTACCGTTCAGACTAACTGTAAGGTTAAATGTCGGGTCAACTTTCAGGCTAACATTCTGGCTAACTGTTAGGCTAGCTGTCACGCTAACAAGCTAACAGTCAGTTTAACTATCAGGATAACTGTTAGGTTAAATGTCGGGCTAACTGTCAGGCTGTCAGGCTAACTATCTGGTTAACTATCAGGCTAACTGTCAGGTTAACTATCTGGTTAACTGTTAGGCTAACTATTGGGCTAACTGTTGAGTTAACTGTCAACATGATGTAGTTCACTCTCCTTATTGGAGCCCTTTACAACATGTAAAGGTCATCAACAGATTTTTGTACCCAGAACTTATTCAGGTTTTTCAGCTAACTGCTAACAGCTAGCTGATCTACACACTGGATACCTGGAATTTCTCCAATAAAGGACGAATAAAGCATCTACTGATGTAAACAGACTGATGAAGTCAGTGTTAATCACCGGTTTAACTCAAAAACACAGTTCTGTTTAGTTCTGTTGGAGTGTCAGTGGCGTG